ACAGCACCATTTTGTAGAAAATCTCAGCAGCATCAAAAAAAGGTACTTAGGATTTAGATATGAAATTATTGTAGAGGTACTGTTGCCTGCACAACAGCTGCTGCAGCTCAGCTAGGCTCTTTGGCCTAAATCACAAGCAGGCTGCAATGTAAGCATGAGATGGCTGGACTGGTACAGTTGTTACTATTATTGCTATTACTTTTCGCCTCTGTATCTCTTTTGCCAGGATTGAAGATGAACATGTCTCTCTCCCTTTGGTCATGTTATCTGATGATGATGCAACATGATAAATCCAAGAAGCAGCACATGCAGCAGTATTGCAGCAGTGGGAATTTGGGTATATTAAATTGCTGCTTTAGGAGGATTCCTGCCCAAAGAATATGTGGTCTAGACTGTGGTTGCTGTGTCTGCATGGTAAAACAGACCTGGCTGACATAGTCTGTGTATCTGTTATAGCCTTGTGATAGTAGCATGGAGCTCAGCATAAACTCAGTATTTCCTCTCTTGCTGAAGTTAACCCTTACATTGCCTCCACTGCTCAGGTGATGATATCTCGGGTGTCTTATTTAATACTAGATTGGGTTTATTACTAGCATTAGTTCCCCTCCTGTTACAATGGCAGTAGGATCATCTCTTTCAGATAGAGTGAGGAAATGTGCTTTCTAGGCTCATTACCAATCAATAGCTTTCTCATCTTTCTCTTTCATTGGCAGTTTGGGGTCACTTGACCTTCCTTTAGTAATAAGGAGCTGGTTTTGGGCCACCAACCTTATATGACCTGCAAGGAAGGAGCATGGCTCCTGATAAGGAGTCACTTGGAATGTGGTTGACAATGAAGCATGTGTGTAGCTTTCATTGGAACAGTGTGGGCACCTGGGGATAAGTCTGCTGCTTTTCCTAATGTAGACCTGTGCACTACCACTGTTGCTACATTCATGACCCTTCTGCTTTGGTACAATTTCTCTCTCAAGCCACAGCAGAACAGAACAGAGCTCAGGGCTTCTCTTACAGCAGGGTTTCTCTTCTCTCAGGGCATGTGAGGCATGCTAAGATCTCTTTAGAATCACAAACACTGGGAAGTGCATAAAAGTAAGAAATGCTGTCAGTTCTTCCCACCAAAAATCTATCAGATGAACTGAGTAAACTCTAATTAGTCATTCTTCCGGGTCAGAAGGGAATTAAACAAGTTCATGGATAAGTGAGCCTCATTTATGAGACAATTTCTGACACAGGCCCAGTGCTATTGGGTCTCACCACAGCTTAGGAGATAGGGCACTTTTGTCTGATGTAGTCCAAGTTTCACCATAAATGTCAATGCCTGACCAATCTGTGAAATCATCCAAAGTCCTTTTTTAGACTGGAAAAATATACCTCTGTAGTTAACAGAGATGCCTAATTACAGCTTCTTCCTGAAGAAAAATAAATCATTTTCCCTATACCCAAGTGAAACCAGTTAGGGACTCAGATTCAGACTGTGGGACCACTTCCAAATGGTCCAGTTTGAAGTACGGAAAATGCTAGGATTTTGAGGCATTGGCTGTACAGACAGTAAAGGAAATGTCTTAACGAGATGTGCAAAGCAGCATTGTCTCTGGGATAGGGCACCAGATTGGGATTCAGGAAACCTGTGGGTTTATCACAGCTCTGCTGTTGCTTCTTTGCCTTAGTGTGCTTTGGAGTGCCTTCTAGCCATCTGTTTGTCTCAGTTACTCAGAGCAATGTACCCAGCCTTCCTGTACACACTTTGCCTGGGAGATTTGGTGATGTTCCACCACTCGCTGTGCCTGACTCGTTCTCTTCCCCTAACCCAGCACTTGGGATGATTGTTACACCTTCATCAGCCCTCACTCAGAGGCAACTTCCTTCCTTCCTTCTCCCCTCTGTTGATGGCTGTGCGTCTGGCCCCAGCAGAGCTGGCACTGGACTAACAAGCCCCACTGGACCTGTCCAACTGTCCATAGCCACTCGGGTGCAGTCTTAGCCCCTGTTTCCAGTCCTGGCAATGTGACGTGGAGCACCATGGGCTGGCCTTGCATCCCATGTTGTTTATCAGCTGCCTGTACTGTCCTTTCTTCTTTAATTGGAACCACTGATTTCAACTAGGGAGTGTTGATAATGGAGCATAAACTTTTCAGTGCCTTGAAGTGGGATAATAGGACAGATAGATATTAAGGTGCACCTCATCCTCTGTGGCAATCCTGGTGAAAGCTGGTTACTGACACAAGCATGAGGAGCACTGGTTGCCTGGGAGGCAGTCCTCTTGAGTGTTTGTACATGCCTTTCTGCTTACAAACCTGTCTTGGACACGCAGGCCTAAGGGGCAAAAAGCAGCAGTCAAGAACAACCATTTGCCTGTGCTCAAATGGAAATGATTGTAGATTTAACCATAAAAGCAATGCTGATCAGTGTCCTTTCCACGACCAAGTGGAAAAGTTACTGAGAGAAACAGCAGCACAGCAGATTTACCCATGCAGTTTGTAGAAGTGCTGAATCTCAGCACACTTCTGAGAACATTTGTTAATTCCTTCATATGTCCACCATTGACTCCCCTGAAAGTACAGCACTCCAAAAGATTTGAATTTTCCTGTTGTGGAGTTGATGTCCATAGATGTAAAAGGATGAAGAGATTTTGTTTTGATCGCAAACCCCCAATTGTAGCATCATGGCTGTCAGAGCAAACTAATGAAGCACATTCTTTGATGGTTTTAATCTTTTCTATTTGTGTTGCTTACAAACGCTTTTAGTCACCTTCCTGAATGCACATGCATGAGAATGTTCACAGGAAATTTAGAAGTTCTTTCCGAACCCTTGCAAAATTTCAAATAAGTATGTTTAGCAGGCTTACAATCACTGCAGTGAAATCAAACAGGCAATATTCTTAATAACTCGTAAGAATTAAATTTTTTCTAGTTCACTTATATCAAATGCCTTTCCAAGAGCAGAAAGTGCTTTGCATTGAACTTTAAGTGTTATTGTCATGCCTGTAGGAGCCTGCACTTAATCTAAATTCATTCTGTTGTTTGTAGTTTGATACAAGGTCAAGATTACCTCAGTTCTGATTACTGTTAGCTGAGGATCTGTCTCTAAATGTAAATATGTCTAGTAAAACCCTTCTCCAGCATCTACTTCGACTATTTCTCCATAACTGTTAAATCTGCCCGTAAGTCTCCACAGTCCAGGGACTCCAGCTATAATGAGTGAATGAATCAGAGGCTGCTGGAATCAGGAATGGGGCCAAAGAGACTGTAGAGATAGCTATTATTTAAAGGTAATTGAGTGGAATGGGCAATGGAACAAGCTGAAGAAAAATAGAAGCCCCTCAGGATATCCACACTCTGCCTTTCACCCTCCAGCTGAGGTCCCAGGTCCTTGGTTGAGTAAATCTGCTTTTCTGCTTTTCTCTCAATAAAGATACTAAAAACTGATTGGTTTTTTTTTTCCCCTTCTAATGAAAAACTGCGTACTACCATCCATTCTGATGTCAAACCAGGGCAGAAGGGCTTAGAGCCAGCCCTTTTGAGTTGCCTTCCTGAGCCTGCATTGGATATAGCATATGTTTTCAGGAAAGCAAAACTGAACTGAAGATTTTGAATCTTGGCTGCTTCAGAAGTTAAGAATCTCGCTGCACACAGACACTGAAGAGCACTTTTAGTGAGAAACAGAGGACTTTTCACTTCTTTATAGAATGCACAAGTGGGAATTTAGATACCTAATTTTAGTTCTCCTCAATCTATCTATAAGGAATTGACCTATAAATCAGAATTAAGGCATTTATTTAATAATTTTTAAATACTTAAAAAAATATATATATGCTGCACAGTACTTGTCCCCTCACCCTTATCCATTGTCACTAGCACATTGCCTTTTTATTGTCTGCAGTAGCAGAACCTAGGTTGAGGTGAGACTGTGCTGTTTGGGTGGAGGCTAGGTCTTGCTTTAATCAAATAGGCAAAACCAGAGAAGGATTTTGATACTCGTTGGCTACTTGTGGGCTAAAATATAAAATACAGAAGGTACCATAAATGGGCTGCTGAAATCACCAGTGTGTGCATTATAACCAGGAAGCAGAGAAAGCAACAGAAGATTTTGCCTGTTGCCAGGAATTACTGGCAGGTTATATCGGTCTTTGGTTAGAAGCAGGTACCATTTGTGATTCTGCTGGTGATTCACGTAGCCCTTGAGTATGATGTTTCTGTGCTCTAGAAGTCAATGATTTATATTGATTTCCCAGTATAAAAGCTTTCAGGTCCAAGGGAGAAAAAAGTTATACAGAGCCTGTTCTCAAGTCCACTGAAAACAACAGAAAGACCCTTATAAAAGACTGTAAATCCCAAAAGCATGGCATAGCACACATTGTACAACTGCAATCAAGGCTGTGGGGATTAACTCACAAATTCAAAATAAAATATTTAGTCTCATGGTACATTTTCTGTGAACAATGGGTAGATACTGTTTGCAATGCATTATAGCAATAATAATTTTGAAAATGTATTACTCATCTCTGGTTTAGGGCTTACTGGAAGCACCTTATAATTTCAGTTCTATGAAGCTAGAATAAATAATATTTCCATCTTTAATATGTACAGAGTGTTGCAAAATGTTTTTGGAAGCAGGTTATTTTGGGATTATTTGGTCACAGGTGATACAAATCGTTTTTCAATTCTGTAAGCATTAATTCATTTAAACTTGAATTTATTCAGAAACACTCTCTACAATCCATGTAAATATAGTGGGTCTTCTTTTACAGTGCCTTTTGGAATATGTAAGGGAAAAAGAAGGTGTCAGATTTCTTGTTGTATTGATTAGCTTTTCATGGATCCTCACCTAAGCAGTATCTTAAGCATGACCATTAAGTGAGCAGGATTGAGAGAATAGTGAGGCTGTGGTTTGGAGGTTTCTGGATGAGAGCCAAAATGTGAAATACTTTTGTGATCCAAACACAGTTTGAGAGTAAGATTTTTTCATTAATCTTGAATAAATATAGCGTCTGTCCTCTGCCCATGAAGGTTACAGCAGAGTTAGATGCCTGGAATGAAGATCTGCTGAGACAAATGAATGATTTCAATACTGAAGACCTCACTCTGGCTGAGCAGCGTTTGCAGCGTCACACTGAGCGGAAGCTGGCCATGAACAACATGACCTTTGAAGTCATCCAGCAGGGGCAAGATTTACACCAGTACATCATGGAGGTCCAGGCTTCAGGTGAGCAGAACGATTTGATCTCTATTTTACTTGAAAAAAACCCCAAAACCCAAGAAAACTCCAAAATATGTATCAAGTACTCCAATATATACCAAATACATTGGCTTTTAATGTAAGTTAGGTATCAGCAATACTTGTCTCTCCACTCCCAACTCCCAGAACTGTTCCATAAGTTTTGGGATTCTTCAATCCGTAATTATATGTCAGAAATTGCTGTTTCTTTGACACTGAAACTCATTGAGGAAATAAAGCTGACTTTCCAGTTTCATTCACAAAGTTTCACAGCTGCAGGATGGAGTTTGTGATCATTTCCACAGTGCATGGAGAGGGGAGGGCAAGACAAGTTACACTGGTAGGTCCTTGTCCTTGTGCAGCTCAGAAACAAGCACTGCAGAAAATCATGAGTTACAGGTACATAAGCTGGCCAGTTAGACCTCTGGTCTGGATGAAGTCTAGTCATTCTAGACTCTTAAGCTTGTTAACCTTTATGCAACTAGATGCTGCTGAGAGGCAAACTGTCCTGGGTTCATTCTCCACAGACTTGAATACCTTTTCTCTGGGCCACATTTAAGGGTGCAGACATGCC